TCAACCCTGACTTCCAGGTAAGAGTGAAATTATTTTATATACTCTGTTGCCATCAATCTACAATTTTGGAAAATGTCTTACAAATGGAATACTGTAATTTCCGGACTACTGAGTGCATCTGAATACAAGCCACGCCCACTAAATTTAAAAAAGAAAATAAAAATTTGAGAGATGCGTATTGGGCATTTATGTGAGTGCCCAGATGTGACAAGGCTAAAAGTTTTGGCGGCATGAAACTTGTTAACTTGTCAAATTCTTAAAATCCATAAATTAGCTGCAGAATTTTACAAGCCGCATTGTTCCAAGCGTGTGAAAACAGTAGCAGCTTATAGTCCAGAAATGATGGTAGTTCAGAATAAAATAACTGAAAAACATGGCAAAGTATAATGTCAATGTGCACAGAGTTTCTTTACTAGTTTTTAATGTTCCATATTTGAACTTTCTGCAGCACTACACATGGAGTGGTGAGAACTCCTACTTTGTGAGCGGCAACTGGGACTCTCTACAGATTGGTGGAGGAGGGTAAGTTATATGAAGTTATGTAATAAAATGAAGCAGTTTGTCACAAAGTAACTGAAATAGCTGTTTTATAGGTCAGTTTAGAAATTCATGAGTTAAACCCTTAAAATTGTTCATAAACTTAATAATAAGTTGGTATTTCTTCTTGTTTTTCAGAGGTGGCTTCGCCCTGTGGCTGGATGCTGATTTGTATCATGGAGCCAGTTTTTCCTGCCCTACTTTCCACAACGCACCTCTTTCCACAGATGAAGACTTCATCGTACAAGATGTTGAAGTGTGGACTGTACAAAACTGAACGAGGACCCTGAAGCTGTCCTTCATGGAGTCACTACACTTCAAGAGCTAGTAGCAGTTTAGACACTGTTATCCTGACGGAGAGTTCTCCGTCATGTCTGCACCTGCAGATTAGTCCACGTACAGTACCAAGCCTTTTGGACTGGTTCTCAGACTGAGATTTATGCTTGGTTGAGCTGTGACTGTTAAAGAAACGTGGCTACAAGAAATCCTGTTTTTCAGGTTCCTGCTGCTCTGAACTACTGGATATATTTGAGCTGCTTGTGTCGTTCTTTGATTTTGTAGAGAATTATGACACAAAGTTCACTGTAAAAGTGTTGGATGAAGCATGCAGAAACTGTAAGCACATCCCAGGAGTATACATTTTGTTTTTAATTTATTAACTGTTGAACAGGCAGACAGTCTTAGTTAAACTATGCATATGTTTGTGTGTTTAAGTCTGTCTTTGTTCTCAAGTTAAATGAACTATTGTTGGTATTGACACTGTCAGATGAGGGGACTCTCCTGTAAGAGTTTGTTTTGGATCCTAACTCCAGTTGGAAACTACAGCAGGAAGTGAAGACCAAATCAGTCGGGAGACAGACAGGAATCAGGAGAATGGAAGCAGAGCTGCACCACAGTCAGCTTTCTGTAAAATGAGTGATGCCTCGTGTTGGACGAGGAAGTGAACACGGTTGTTAACCGTCTGCTCCGTTTGTGCGCACAAAGATTTGTGTTATTGTTTGAAATTCATCAAGGGAAAAAAATAATTTTACTAAATTTGGCAAATATTTTGTATTACTTAAATATTTAAAAATAGATATATTATTTTTACAAACATAAAACAAGCTAGCAAAGCTAATTTTTACAAGTGTGTTTGATTTCCTTGATTTTCTTGTCCTTTGTGTGCAGATCTGAGTGTTAGGAGCAGTGCTGGCACTGCCATTGTTCATTTTGTAAAACCACAATAAAAACTTTTTATTTGCTGCTAAAACCCCTTTGTATTATTCATGAACCCTCACCACACTTTACATGCAGCCTAAAAACAAGTGAAACATGTCATGACACATGTTTTTATGTGATAACCTCCCATGTGCTATCCTTAAAATATTTAAGATATTTTTTACAAATACACAAAACATACATTTTGAAATATTTTGTGCAACTTTGATTTAAAAGAAATGAAATAAAGCATCCAAAAATTTAAAGAATGATGTAATACAGAAAACATTTTATCTGATAATTAGCTATTGAAGCCAAATTTTCAAAGTAGCATAATCTTAAAATACAGCAGTGATTCTAGGAAGCTGAAAGTTTCTTAAGTTAATGTAAATCAGAGGAAAAATGGTGTTTTATCGTATCATTGAATAATTACCATATATTAGGATTGTCACCTTATGCATGTTGCATTTGTTGGCAGCATAAAGCATTTGAGTAGAAAGGTGGCATTTCAAACCAAAACTTGACATTTGGAAAACTTTACTTTAAAACAATATTGGGAAACCAACAAAGTTAAGTTAGGTCATCTGGATAGTTTCTTACATTAGTTGAAATGTTTCGTCCTTCATCCAAAGGACTTCATCCATCATCCAAAGGACTTTGTCAGTATGCTAAGCTATAGCAAACTCAGTCCCACAAGCAGCACACTCACATAGTGGACCAACCAGTTTGCTGGCGTTTAGATGGTGTATGGAGCCCGCCCTCTCCACCGTCAGCTCCTCGGAGGCAGCCATAGCCAAAGTGGTTCAAAACATCAAAGTTCATGCTCAATAATCCAGGTAATTGTTTTTGATCGTACCTCTCTACACAGCTCTGTTTCAGTCTTTATAGGATAATGGTCTCTTCCTACCATTGTTTCTTTGATTACTTCCCATAGAAAAAACCCTGCCAGAAAACCTCAGACTATTTATTTATTTATTTAATTATTTCTACAGCACTTTACACAACCATGGTGATGGTGACCAAAGTGCTTAACAAAAAACAGTACTTAAAATGACAATAGGTTAAAAGCAAGAAAACACAACATAATAGCACAAATAAAACCAGAAATGTCACCACATATTTACGTACTAAAAGCTTGTTTGAATAAAAAAGTCTTAAGCTTCGATTTAAAAGGGCCAAGTTCAGTAATCTGACGCAGATCAAGTGGGAGCTTATTCCAGAGTCGAGGCGCGGCAGCAGAAAAGGCACGGTCACCCCAGCGTTTATATTTAGTCCTTGGAACAGAGAGCAGGAGCTGGCTGTCTGACCTCAAAGATCTGGAGCGGGCGGGGAAACTTAACATCTCAGTTATATAAGGAGGAGCAAGGCCATTCAGAGCTTTAAAAACAAATAATAAAAGTTTAAAATCTATTCTAAAATGGACAGGGAGCCAATGTAGTGAGAATAAAACAGGTGTGATGTGGTCCCATCTAGGAGTGTTGGTTAAAAGGCGCGCTGCTGCATTTTGTACAAGCTGGAGGCGACTCAGTGATGACTGTGGTACACCGACATACAGAGCGTTACAATAATCGAGCCTAGAACTGATAAAAGCATGAACAGCTTTCTCCAGGTCGCGACAATTTAAAAAGGGTTTGACCTTTTTTAAAAGGCGTAAATAAAAGAATCCCGACCGGACAACAGAGGCAATATGTTTGTCAAAGTGTAAAGCCTTATCAAAGGTCACCCCAAGGTTTTTCACACAGTCACTGAAGTTAATGTCCAAATTTCCCAGGCCAGTTGCATCTTTGTCACCAAATAAAATCTATTCTGTTTTACTGTCATTTAAAAACAGGAAGTTCTTGTTCAGCCAATGTTTGATTGCAGAGATGCAGTCGAAGAGAGAAAGCATTGGGTTATTGGATCCAGGCCTTAATGGTAAATAGATCTGCAAATCATCTGCATAAAAATGAAAGTTGACATTGTGTTGTCTTATAATAGATCCAAGTGGCAACATGTATAACGAAAAGAGCAAAGGACCCAAAATGGAACCCTGTGGCACCCCACACAGAAGAGGGGCTTTAGAGGAAGAGGAGCCATTGAACAAGATAGAAAAGGTTCTATCAGATAAATAGGACGTGAACCACTTCAGAGCAGTACCACGAATCCCAACAAAATCATGGAGGCGAGACAGAAGGACAGAGCGGTCCACAGTGTCAAAGGCTGCTGTGAGGTCGAGGAGCACCAGAGCTACTGGGCACCCAGAGTCAACTGACTGAGCTATGTCGTTATGAACTTTCAATAATGCAGATTCTGTGCTATGTCGGGATCTAAAACCAGATTGAAATTTATCCAGGATTGTGCTTTTTTCCAGAAAAGGCTGAATTTGCGTAAGAACAATTTTTTCTAAAACTTTGGAGAGGAAGGATAAATTAGAAATAGGTCTAAAATTTGATAAAACCAAGGGATCAAGATTTGTTTTTTTGAGAAGGGGGCGGACCGTTGCATGTTTAAAAGCAGAAGGCATAATTCCACTGGACAAACATGAATTGAAAAAAGGAAGAAGGTAAGGACCAACAATATTAAATACCTCTTTCAATAATCTGGTGGGGAGAAAATCAGTGGGGCAGTTGGTGGGTTTAATGGAGTTGACGATTTTGTCCAAGAGGGAATAAGACACTGGTTCAAACTGCTCGAATAAAGCAGAACCAACAGAGATAAAAGAACACTCTGAAACAGAAGTAGCAGGTGTGCCTGTGGCTTGTCTAACCGATGCAACTTTATCAATAAAAAAGGAGAGAAAGTTCTCACAGGTGGAGGCTGAGGCATCAGGTAAGACTGAGGTGGGTGGATTTAAAACAGAGTTATTTGTATTAAATAACACCCGGGGGCAGTGGCTACTGTTTGTGATAATGTTAGACAGAAATTGTGATTTTGCATAATTAACAGATCTCTGATACAGAACAAGAGTTCTCCTTAATAAAACCAAAGAATCATGTTGCCTGTCATGCTTCCACTGTCTTTCAGCCCTTCTACATTGTCTCCTGAGTTTGCATGCAGTAGGATCTTTCAGCCAAGGCTCAGCTCTGGGTTTAGGGTGTCTGAACTTCACCGGAGCAATAGAGTCCAGGATCCCAGTGCAGGTATCAGAAAACAATGACAAAAAATCTTTGGGACACAGAGAAACATCAGGACCAACTGAATAAAACTGTGAGTCCATAAAAGCAGTGGTGAACTGTCGGGCACTGGCTGAGGTGAGACAGCGGCGATGACACCCCGCAGCCAGAGGCCTCCTGGCTGGGTGGGGGGCTGTAAATTGGAAAAAAAAATAGGGAAATGATCCGAGATGGCAGACTCAGAAATTTCACAGTGAGAAATGGACAGTCCATGAGAAATAATAAGGTCCAGAGTATGGCCAAGATGATGTGTTGGTGAATTCACTGATTGTGTTAAATTAAAAGAAGCTAAAAGCTTTAAAAACTCAGAAGCCAGTGGGTCAGTGGGACAACAAACATGAATATTAAAATCTCCACAAATAAAAAAACTGTCATAGTTAGAAATAATATCAGCAAGGAATTCAGAGAATTCTTGAATGAATTCCTTGTTATATTTAGGTGGGCAATAGGCAACAGCACATAAAACATTCGGGGTGAGCTCAATCACAAACATCTGAAGTTCAAAGGAGGAGTAAGTGATGGTGGGCAGAAGTCTGCATTTAAAATTGTCCTTATAGATAGTGGCAACACCACCACCGCGGACTGTCAGACGTGGGGAGCTGAAGAAGGAGCAGCCTGAGGGGGAGAGATCAGAAAACGCTCTGTTATCGCCCGGTCTCAGCCACGTTTCTCTCAGCAGCAGAAAGTCCAGAGAGTTTGCGCAGAAGAAATCGTGGAGAATAAAAGTTTTATTTATGACAGATCTAGTGTTCAGAAGAGCCATCCGGATGGAGCACTGGCTGTTATCCTGGGATGCACGGCCAAAGGAGCGGAGGTTCTCCTGAACCCTGCCACGCCTACAGATCTTTGCACGCCGATGACCAGGAAATGCGCCGCTGCCGGTGTCCGTATCCACGACGCGTAACCAGCTGTATGAATATTCCATGGGGCAACGTATGTCCACAAATTTGTATTTCCTGAGAATCTGGCGCGAAGATTGGAATGAAGAAGAGGCGAAGTGAGCCCGAAGCTTCACAAGCAACCCACCCCTCCTGCCGCGTCTCCTGCGACGGCGCCCGCTGCGGGCGACCACAACACAAGGATTCCGTAGAAATGGAGGTCTGGATGCCAGGTGAGGTGGAGGAAAAGTCTTGGATCGTCCATAAAGGTCACAAAACGGTACTTTTCCCACGATGGAATTAATATTTAAAAGTGTCTGGCGGTCATAAGTAAACAGTGATGACACAATCTGAACAAAAGTCAAGAAAAATAGCACAAAAAGTAACAACTTGAGGAGAGACAGACAACAAGCCACGTACAACGGCGCCATCTTGTCCCAATTAAGACTAATGTGATATTATTTGCCGATTCTGTATTGTCCCTAAAATTGATTCTGGTTCCACTCCCATCATTCAGACACCAAATTTTTAACTTCCATTAATTCTTCAATTATTTTAATTTTGTTCATTGTGATCCCTCCATGATGTGTTGTGCCCATTAAAGTCCCCACAACAAATTACTTTATTATCTCCTCCAGTGATTCCAGTGATTGTCTTTTACATGGATTGTAAACATTGATTATTTTAAATCTTCCACAGCAAAGTCTTGTTGGTCCAAACAGTCTTCAGTACTGGCAGCTCTCAACAGCTGGCTGGAGACAGCTGTGGGTGAAAAGCTCTGTCTAATCTCCAAGGGCAGCACAGGGTAAGAGAACTGTTAGGTGGGGAAAACCCCAAAATCCAAACAACAAGTGTCTAAAAATAAACAGATCCTGACACGACGAGCACAAACTTTCCAGCAAATTTGATTTTCTGAAATTTAACTCAGCCATAAAAAATCATGTCTGGCCACTCAAGTTTAAGTTTTAGTCTGGAAGAAATGTTTTATAAAAGTGATCTTACTTACTTAAAACGTT